TTGAGATCATTTCGGGGCTTTTTAGTGTCCCCGCGGCCCGGTCCTCGACCAGGCCTCCACCCCCAGGAAGCAGCCCGTGACAGCTGACTAACACCCAGGTACCTATTTTACTGCTAGGTAACAGGGGCATAGTGTGAAAGAAACTCTGCCCATTGTTTCTCGCCGGCGCCTGGGATCGAACCCAGGACCACAGGATCACAAATCCAGCGTGTTGTCCGCTCGGCCGACCGGCTCCCCACGGTCAACTTAGTCCACAATAATTATTGCGACAGTCAACTTTTACAGAAAACTTCAGTGACCGCGCGCGCAAGCCCCCAGGGACCGCGCGCGCAAGCCCCCAGGGACCGCGCGCGCAAGCCCCCAGGGACCGCGCGCGCAAGCCCCCAGGGACCGCGCGCGCAAGCCCCCAGGGACCGCGCGCGCAAGCCCCCAGGGACCGCGCGCGCAAGCCCCCAGGGACCGCGCGCGCAAGCCCCCAGGGACCGCGCGCGCAAGCCCCCAGGGACCGCGCGCGCAAGCCCCAGGGACCGCGCGCGCAAGCCCCAGGGACCGCGCGCAAGGCTTCAGTAATTGTTGTTATAGCAATGTTCGTAATATGTTCGTAATTGTTGACGAAGCAAGTCAACAGTGCCCTCCAGAGAGGTTGGTGGCCAAGACGTCATATATCACACACGACAGATTAAAGCAGTAGCCCACATTAGTGTTGACTAGGCTTCCTAATATGCGTCGCTACCCCGAGGTCTACAGAGAGGGGAAATTGTATTATGAATTTTGGTATTAGTACATATAAAAATATTTTATATGTACTAATCTCAATGATCAATTAATCCATGGGTTTAATTAGGATCTATCAGTAAATTTTGACAGTGCACTCAATAACCAATTGTATTGGTTATTGAGTGCACTTATTGGTTATGCATTGTTAATCGCCTGGAAAGAGATGTTGTCTTGCCTATATACTGGGCCTATATAAAAGGCTGAGCCTATATATTTTGCCTATATAAAAACTCTCCAGACACAGAGCAGAACGCCTTAAAGGAGACCAACGTCGTCTATGCCTTCAAATGCCCACTTGGGGACTGTAAGCCCCAAAGAACTCAGTATATAGGCAAGACAACAACATCTCTTTCCAGGCGATTAACAATGCATAAGCAACAGGGCTCCATTAAGGAACATATAATCTCTTCCACAACCAGACCATCACCAGAGAAGTCTTAACAAACAACACAGAAATCATCGATAGATACAGCGATAGCAGGCAGCTTGACATCTGCGAGGCACTACACATTAAAAAGTCAACACCAGCAATCAACAGCCAATTAATGCACAACTATATTCTACCCACTTCAAGACTCCGTACCAAGCATCAAGAGGAAGTATGGGCCAAAAGGCCTTTTGAAGTTACTTCCATTCTTATGCTCTCATATATCCAATTTAATACCCATTGTTCCGTGTTCTGTCTTGTGTTTGTCAAAAGTTTGTTCGCCTCATCCAAAACTGTTGCAACATATCACCTCACCCAAGTGCGAGTATATAAGACAGATAAGCTGTTTAGTGTTAGCATAAGTAAAACTCTGTTTAGTGTTTTCAGGTTACAGTTGTGTGTGTAAACTAAAGTCTTTGAAAATGTAATAAGTTATTACGAAACGCGTTGAAGCGTCGCGTCAGACTAGAAATAAAAATGAATTTGAGAATTGATTTTTCAATTACCATCGACAGTAAAAAGAAACATAAGAAATATTGAGAAAATTCGTGTTAGAATTATTAATCTTACTTTTTCGGCCATATTTAACAACATATGTTTACAAGAAAGACTGCTACCAAAATATACTAATATTATTATTATTATTATTATTATTATTATATATATATATATATATATATATATATATATATATATATATATATATATATATATATATATATATATATATATATATATATATATATATATATATATATATATATATATATATATATATATATATATATATATTTAAAAAAAATATATATATATATATATATATATATATATACATATATATATGTATAATATATATATATATATGTGTGTGTGTGTGTGCTTTCTAAATCCCCCCTCTGCCACCATTCACCCCCTTGAATATCTTATAATTGAAGGAGGTGACCTAACAACCCCATTCCTCACAACATCCACAACGATTCCCCACACCATCATCATCACCCCCCTCAACCCCCCCCCCCCCAAGACCACTTGAGAACACCCGCCCTCCCCCCCCCCCCCCCCCCCCCCCCCGCCCACTCTTCACCACCGTTCTTAAAAACATCTTCAAATGAAGGGGATTTTTACACGTGGGGGCCGGTGGTCCAGGGTCACCATCAAAGACCAATTAGACCGGGAACAACACTGCCATCAGACCGGTCTTGGCCTGAGACAATGGTGAGGGGGGACACTGGTCAGCCCCTGATGAGGCCGGCTGCTCCCGGGACACACCCGCCAGGCTGAGGGCGGCTGTGCTGCCCCACCGCCTCCCACACCCGCCAGACATCACCCATGGTGTGGGCGGCTGTGCTGCCCTACCGCCGCCCACACCCGCCAGACACCACCCATGGCGTGGGCGGCTGTGCTGCCCTACCGCCGCCCACACCCGCCAGACACCACCCATGGCGTGGGCGGCTGTGCTGCCATACCCCGCCGCCCACACCCGCCAGACACCTCCCATGGAGTGGGCGGCTGTGCTGCCATACCGCCGCCCACACCCGCCAGACACCACCCATGGCGTGGGCGGCTGTGCTGCCATACCCCGCCGCCCACACCCGCCAGACACCACCCATGGTGTGGGCGGCTGTGCTGCCATACCCCGCCGCCCACACCCGCCAGACACCACCCATGGCGTGGGCGGCTGTGCTGCCATACCCCGCCGCCCACACCCGCCAGACACCACCCATGGAGTGGGCGGCTGTGCTGCCATACCGCCGCCCACACCCGCCAGACACCACCCATGGCGTGGGCGGCTGTGCTGCCATACCCCGCCGCCCACACCCGCCAGACACCACCCACGGTGTGGGCGGCTGCAGTCTGTGATCAACGCATCTAATCAATCCAAATTTTGGCGGGAAAGAAGTTAGAGAAACGGTCAGGAGAGGAGAGGGTAAAAATAACAGAAGAGGAACAATAACTACACCACACACACTAAACAACTACACTATACACACTAAAGTTCACAATAAATGAAACTGAAGTATTTGTAAATTTTTTGCCTTCAAATTATTCCTACAAGTTGTATTTTTCGGATAGCGATTTGGTGTGGGAGGGCGGCCGTGGGCGGCTGTGGTGTGGGAGGGCGGCCGTGGGCGGCTGTGGTGTGTGAGGGCGGCCGTGGGCGGCTGTGGTGTGTGAGGGCGGCCGTGGGCGGCTGTGGTGTGGGAGGGCGGCCGTGGGCGGCTGTGGTGTGGGAGGGCGGCCGTGGGCGGCTGTGGTGTGGGAGGGCGGCCGTGGGCGGCTGTGGTGTGGGAGGGCGGCCGTGGGCGGCTGTGGTGTGTGAGGGCGGCCGTGGGCGGCTGTGGTGTGTGAGGGCGGCCGTGGGCGGCTGTGGTGTGTGAGGGCGGCCGTGGGCGGCTGTGGTGTGTGAGGGCGGCCGTGGGCGGCTGTGGTGTGTGAGGGCGGCCGTGGGCGGCTGTGGTGTGTGAGGGCGGCCGTGGGCGGCTGTGGTGTGTGAGGGCGGCCGTGGGCGGCTGTGGTGTGTGAGGGCGGCCGTGGGCGGCTGTGGTGTGTGAGGGCGGCCGTGGGCGGCTGTGGTGTGTGAGGGCGGCCGTGGGCGGCTGTGGAGTGTGAGGGCGGCCGTGGGCGGCTGTGGTGTGGGAGGGCGGCCGTGGGCGGCTGTGGTGTGTGAGGGCGGCCGTGGGCGGCTGTGGTGTGTGAGGGCGGCCGTGGGCGGCTGTGGTGTGTGAGGGCGGCCGTGGGCGGCTGTGGTGTGGGAGGGCGGCCGTGGGCGGCTGTGGTGTGAGAGGGCGGCCGTGGGCGGCTGTGGTGTGGGAGGGCGGCCGTGGGCGGCTATAGTGTGGGAGGGCGGCCGTGGGCGGCTGTGGTGTGGGAGGGCGGCTGTGGTGTGGGAGGGCGGCAGTGGGCGGCTGTGGTGTGGGAGGGCGGCTGTGGTGTGGGAGGGCGGCCGTGGGCGGATGTGGTGTGTGAGGGCGGCCGTGGGCGGCTGTGGTGTGTGAGGGCGGCCGTGGGCGGCTGTGGTGTGGGAGGGCGGCTATAGTGTGGGAGGACGGCCGTGGGCGGCTGTGGTGTGTGAGGGCGGCCGTGGGCGGCTGTGGTGTGGGAGGGCGGCCGTGGGCGGTTGTGGTGTGGGAGGGCGGCCGTGGAGTACTGGGGGCAGGGGGTAGTGGTGGAGAGTTGGGGTCCAGCGGCCACTAGCGGGGTTCAGGAGTCAGTTCATAGTGCTGGATTTGAATTTTGGAATCTGTGTGGGTTGAGGGAGGGAGGGAGGGAGGGGGGGGGGGGGGAGGGTGTCGTGACGTAAGGAGCCCCTGCGGGTGACGTAAGCGCCCCCCCCCCCCCCCTGCAGCGTTGAGACACTAGAGACATCCACAACAACATATTTACAGGGATAAAGTGACGTCTTTCCCCATCACATTACAACAAAGGTGTTTGGCTTCAGTTAGCCACCGTTCGCGCCCCTTCCGCCCCCCCCCACCCCCTCGTTCACACGTCCAACGTAACCTCCCCAATCCCCAATCTTCCCCCGCAACCACCACATCCCCAATCTACCCCATCCTCCCAATCACCTAACCACCACAACATCCCCCCCCCCCTCACCTAACGACTACCTGGAACAGCAATAACCCGAACTACTTTATTTTACCTTTACCGATCGAGCACAAGCCAAACAAGACTTAATTCAGTAGTTAGCACGGTAGTTAGACAGGCAGCTTAATTGTACCGCAGAAGATTGGTCAGGGAGCGACACACGAGATTACCGTACCAGACATGACAAAGTTGCCCCCACTACAACAAGCTAATTAGGGGCGGTCCGCTGTGTACACACACGGTGCCAAGAACACTGAGGGGGGGGGGGGGTTGTCTGTCCGCAGTCTGGCACTGCTGGAGGGGACAAGTGTTGCCGCAGTCTGGCACTGCTGGAGAGGCAGGTGTTGCCGCAGCCTGGCACTGCTGGAGAGGCAAGCGTTGCCGCAGCCTGGCACTGCTGTAGAGGCAAGCGTTGCCGCAGCCTGGCACTGCTGGAGAGGCAAGCGTTGCCGCAGCCTGGCACTGCTGGAGAGGCAAGCGTTGCCGCAGCCTGGCACTGCTGGAGGGGCAGATGTTGCCGCAGTCTGGCACTGCTGGAGGGGCAGGTGTTGCCGCAGTCTGGCACTGCTGGAGGGGCAGGTGTTGCCGCAGTCTGGCACTGCTGGAGGGGCAGGTGTTGCCGCAGTCTGGCACTGCTGGAGGGGCAGGTGTTGCCGCAGCCTGGCACTGCTGGAGGGGCAGGTGTTGCCGCAGTCTGGCACTGCTGAAGGGGCAAGTGTTGCCACAGCCTGGCACTGCTGCAGAGGCAAGCGTTGCCGCAGTCTGGCACTGCTGGAGAGGCAAGCGTTGCCGCAGCCTGGCACTGCTGGAGAGGCAAGCGTTGCCGCAGTCTGGCACTGCTGAAGGGGGCAAGCGTTGGCCGCAGTCTGGGGGGACAACCAACACTGCTGGAGAGGCAAGCGTTGCCGCAGTCTGGCACTGCTGGAGGGGCAAGCGGAGTGTTGCCGCAGTCTGGCACTGCTGGAGGGGCAGGTGTTGCCGCAGCCTGGCACTGCTGGAGGGGCAGGTGTTGCCGCAGTCTGGCACTGCTGAAGGGGCAAGTGTTGCCACAGCCTGGCACTGCTGCAGAGGCAAGCGTTGCCGCAGTCTGGCACTGCTGGAGAGGCAAGCGTTTTGCCGCAGGCCTGGCAGCGTTGCCGCACTGGCACTGCTGGAGAGGCAAGCGTTGCCGCAGCCTGGCACTGCTGGAGAGGCAAGCGTTGCCGCAGTCTGGCACTGCTGAAGGGGCAAGCGTTGCCGCAGTCTGGCACTGCTGGAGAATCAAGCGTTGCCGCAGTCTGGCACTGCTGGAGAGGCAAGCGTTGCCGCAGTCTGGCACTGCTGGAGGGGCAAGCGTTGCCGCAGTCTGGCACTGCTGAAGGGGCAAGCGTTGCCGCAGTCTGGCACTGCTGAAGGGGCAAGCGTTGCCGCAGTCTGGCACTGCTGGAGAGGCAAGCGTTGCCGCAGTCTGGCACTGCTGGAGAGGCAAGCGTTGCCGCAGTCTGGCACTGCTGGAGAGGCAAGTGTTGCCGCAGTCTGGCACTGCTGGAGAGGCAAGCGTTGCCGCAGTCTGGCACTGCTGAAGGGGCAAGCGTTGCCGCAGTCTGGCACTGCTGGAGAGGCAAGCGTTGCCGCAGTCTGGCACTGCTGGAGAGGCAAGCGTTGCCGCAGTCTGGCACTGCTGGAGAGGCAAGCGTTGCCGCAGTCTGGCACTGCTGGAGAGGCAAGCGTTGCCGCAGTCTGGCACTGCTGAAGGGGCAAGCGTTGCCGCAGTCTGGCACTGCTGAAGGGGCAAGCGTTGCCGCAGTCTGGCACTGCTGGAGAGGCAAACGTTGCCGCAGTCTGGCACTGCTGGAGAGGCAAACGTTGCCGCAGTCTGGCACTGCTGGAGAGGCAAACGTTGCCGCAGTCTGGCACTGCTGGAGAGGCAAGTGTTGCCGCAGCCTGGCACTGCTGGAGAGGCAAGCGTTGCCGCAGTCTGGCACTGCTGAAGGGGCAAGCGTTGCCGCAGTCTGGCACTGCTGAAGAGGCAAGCGTTGCCGCAGTCTGGCACTGCTGGAGAGGCAAGCGTTGCCGGAGTCTGGCACTGCTGGAGAGGCAAGCGTTGCCGCAGTCTGGCACTGCTGAAGGGGCAAGCGTTGCCGCAGTCTGGCACTGCTGAAGGGGCAAGCGTTGCCGCAGTCTGGCACTGCTGGAGAGGCAAGCGTTGCCGCAGTCTGGCACTGCTGGAGAGGCAAGTGTTGCCGCAGTCTGGCACTGCTGGAGAGGCAAGTGTTGCCGCAGTCTGGCACTGCTGAAGGGGCAAGCGTTTCCGCAGTCTGGCACTGCTGAAGGGGCAAGCGTTGCCGCAGTCTGGCACTGCTGGAGAGGCAAGTGTTGCCGCAGTCTGGCACTGCTGGAGAGGCAAGCGTTGCCGCAGTCTGGCACTGCTGGAGAGGCAAGCGTTGCCGCAGTCTGGCACTGCTGGAGAGGCAAGCGTTGCCGCAGTCTGGCACTGCTGGAGAGGCAAGTGTTGCCGCAGTCTGGCACTGCTGGAGAGGCAAGTGTTGCCGCAGTCTGGCACTGCTGGAGAGGCAAGTGTTGCCGCAGTCTGGCACTGCTGGAGAGGCAAGTGTTGCCGCAGTCTGGCACTGCTGGAGAGGCAAGTGTTGCCGCAGTCTGGCACTGCTGGAGAGGCAAGTGTTGCCGCAGTCTGGCACTGCTGGAGAGAGGGAGGGGGTGACCGCACCCCCCCCACTAATGAACCCCACACCCCCACCCCCTCAACATTCATCAATAACGTACTCTCATGACCAGAAAGATCAATTAAACAGGCAGTCGTAGGCCAGCATAATCAATTAATCAGGAGCGGGAGTAATCAACAGGTGTACGCGCGTATCACAGGTGATCTACGACGCAATATACGCCTGGGGAATGTCGCATCGATTGGCCAATCATGAACCTTCTCCAAGATCACCACACACACACAAAGCACAAATAAATTACCAGTAACATACACGTGGTAAACAAGGAACTTAAACAATAATATTGTGTTCGATCTTTTTGGTCTTAATTACTTAGTTATGTACGAGGATTTTTTATGTATATAAGTACGTGATAATATATTCTATTAAACAGCGGACTTTTTTTTAATTCCGTTCAGAATGAGAAAATTCCGGAAGGTCTTAAGAACGTTAAAAAATTTGAAATTTCAAAAGTTTGAAGATCACTTTTCTCTTATTGTTCGAAAGTCCTTGTTTATAAACGCCTTCCACCCCCCCCCCCCTCCATTACCGAACACCGTGCTCAATCTCCCCTCCCCCCCCCCTCCTCCACCCAAGTGGAACGCACTGAAAGAGGTTGTGGAAGCCGCCACCTTCCACAACTTTCAAGGACAGACTCTACAAAGAATTCGAACGTCAAGGAAAAAGTTAATTTATAACGCAACAGGTACAAGGGTAATACAAGGTACAAGGCAGCGTATGAAGAGCTAGACCTTACCTACCCGAAAATACTGAAGGGTAAACACCGGTAGGTGAGTACTATGCTCCCTCCTCTTCCCCCCCCCCCCCCTCCTGTTACCTACCCGAAAATACTGAAGGGTAAACACCGGTAGGTGAGTACTATGCTCCCTCCTCTTCCCCCCCCCCCTCCTGTTACCTACCCGAAAATACTGAAGGGTAAACACCGGTAGGTGAGTACTATGCTCCCTCCTCTTCCCCCCCCCCCCCCCTCCTGTTACCTAGCAGAAAATAGGTACCTGGGAGTTAGATAGCTGTCACGGGCTGCTCCCTCCCTCCCTCCCTCCCTCTCTCCCCCTCCTCCTGTCTCCTTCTCCCTCTCCCTGTGTGTGTGTTTACCTAGTTGTGCTTGCATGGGTTGAGCTCTGACTCTTTAGACCCGCCTCTCAACTATCAATTAAATTTGTGTGCGAGCGCGCGAGCGGACGCTAATATTAACGAAAACGAATATGCACGAATAAGAGAATACATTTTTGTCATTTCCAACCTTAACTACTCTAGCAGACTAACCTTAAACAAATCAAGAACTAACATATTACAAAATAAATTATTGGTTCTAGATATATAATGTTTTGTATTGGGAGTTACTTCCAAGAATTCTCATTTGTTCAAGTTTTCAGAGAAGTATTCCTTCGAGGTATTAATATTTTGTAAGTATTATTTCCAGGTTGTTTGAATTATATTGGGTTGACAGGTCCTGGCGTCACGCTGACGCCCCGTGCTGACAGTGACGAAACAGCGTGCCGACAGTGACGAAACAGCGTGCCGACAGTGACGAAACAGCGTGCCGACAGTGACGAAACAGCGTGCCGACAGTGACGAAACAGCGTGCTGACAGTGACGAAACAGCGTGCTGACAGTGACGAAACAACGTGCTAACAGATATACATCTTGTAGCACCACGTCACATCCGGGTTCAGTCTTAACACGTTAACATTCACTATATGTCCTCACTATCCTCGGATACAAGGATAGTGAGGAGGAGTACATCCGTTACGTGTTACTGGTAACGAGGCTGTAGTTGATGCCTTACTCTCAACCCGCCCTTCAAAACTGCGTTAATGGCCACCCCTATGACCATTCTTTCCATTATGCGTCGAACACACACACAAAAAATATTAATAATGTAATTTTACCTGTCGTTAGAATGTGTTGCAAAGCGGCCGTTGCCAACGTGTTGACTGCTTTGCAACAGAGGCAAACCTTATTTTTCAATTGGAAAGATACAATAGTGTGAATTTAATACTTTTTATCGTTGGCCCGCTGCTCCTGTTGAGCCATAAGTAGGGGGGGGGGGTTCTTGGGCCGCCCCCCCCCCTGACCGGTGCCCCCCTCACCTTTCATCCTGTGTACATACACACACACACCCACACACACACACCCCACACATACACACACACCCCACACATACACACACACCCACACACACACACACACCACACACCACACACACACCACACACACACACACACACACACACACACACACACACCACACACCACACACACCAACCACACACACACACACACACACACACACACACACACACACACACACACACACACACACACACACACACACACACCACCCACACACCCACACACACACACACACACACACAGTGATAAAGGTGGCACTGCATGCGAACTCTTAGTGAACCCATTCCTTCATTCACCAATAACCGAGCCACTTATCAATTATTCCATTCAATTAAGAGTCCATTAGCCTCGACGCGGCCTTGCTAAGTGGCAGGCGAGCGGGTCTTTCACAAAGCTTAAAAAAGATCTCCCCCTTCTGAAGAGGGAGACCCATTACGGCCGGCCCGAGACCTAAGACAATGACCAGAGGACCAGATGACCGTAGGTGAATAGACCCCCGGCTCAGTGACCACCGGTGGGGCCCAGTGGTCACCTGGGTCTCCCCTCAGCAGAGGTGCTTGACCCGGTTGTCGATCCCCCTCCTCGCTAAGGAGGGTAGCAGAACACCGGGCTCCCTGTGACCACACCGTCCAGGAACTCCACTATACACATCAGACTACAGCACCAAGCCATCAGGGTGTGGAACACGCTCGAAATGTTAAGAGGACTCATTGTTAGAAAGACTACTCCAAGATGAGACGCCCCGCTCCCACAGCTAGTGGCCCAAGATGAGACGCCCCGCTCCCACAGCTGGTGGCCCAAGATGAGACGCCCCACTCCCACAGCTGGTGGCCCAAGATGAGACGCCCCACTCCCACAGCTGGTGGCCCAAGATGAGACGCCCCACTCCCACAGCTGGTGGCCCAAGATGAGACGCCCCACTCCCACAGCTGGTGGCCCAAGATGAGACGTCCCACTCCCACAGCTGGTGGCCCAAGATGAGACGTCCCACTCCCACAGCTGGTGGCCCAAGATGAGACGTCCCACTCCCACAGCTGGTGACCCAAGATGAGACGTCCCACTCCCACAGCTGGTGGCCCAAGATGAGACGTCCCACTCCCACCGCGGGTGGCGCAAGATGAGACGTCCCACTCCCACAGCTGGTGGCCCAAGATGAGACGTCTCACTCCCACAGCTGGTGGCCCAAGATGAGACACCCCATCCCCACAGCTGGTGACCCAAGATGAGACACCCCATCCCCACAGCTGGTGGCCCAAGATGAGACACCCCATCCCCACAGTTGGTGACCCAAGATGAGACACCCCATCCCCACAACTGGTGGCCCAAAATGAAACGCCCCACTCCCACAGCTGGTGGCCCAAGATGAGACGTCCCACTCCCACAGCTGGTGGCCCAAGATGAGACGTCCCACTCCCACAGCTGGTGGCCCAAGATGAGACGTCCCACTCCCACAGCTGGTGGCCCAGATGAGACGTCCCACTCCTACAGCTGGTGGCCCAAGATGAGACGTCCCACTCCCACAGCTGGTGGCCCAAGATGAGACGCCCCACTCCCACAGCTGGTGGCCCAAGATGAGACACCCCATCCCCACAGCTGGTGGCCCAAGATGAGACACCCCATCCCCACAACTGGTGGCCCAAAATGAAACGCCCCACTCCCACAGCTGGTGGCCCAAGAGCCTGGATCTACCCAATGAAAGCCCTGCCCCACAATACATAACTCAAAGATGAAATCTTGATCAGAACCAACCCCCTGCTTTTAAATAATGCCAATAAAATAGAAATCAATAAAGACTATCTTACGTCCGTGTTACCATCAATAACAACAGACCATCAAACATGTGTGAAGGTATCTGAGAGTGTGCATGTGAATGCTACACAGTATATATATTCATCTATAGACGCCCATGTATGGTGAAACACATGTGAGGAACCTCACACACACACTCAGCTCCCTGACAAGAGAGAGAGCAAACTTAGCTGCCAACACGCACATGGTGTCAGCGAGGAGGACAGCCCGCCTCCTACTATAACTCGCACTATATTTCTAATTTCTAAAACGGTGAAATTAGGAACAGGTTCGTAGACGTGAATGAACTGTTGAGTTCAGTGGTGGCTTCAGTGAACAACCCGTCCTCAGTCTCTGTTCATTCCATCCAGCAGTCGACCCCAAAGACGCATTCATCAGTTTTAACATTATGATCATTCAAAATAGGAATTTTCTCAAATATCAATTAATAATGTTATATATTAGCATATTGTGCATATTTAGACATTGGTTAGGTTAAGTATTTAGGTTCTGTTGGCAATTATTTGTATTTGTAGTACGTGGGTGAAGCATTTACAGCGTCGTGGTTCGAACAAAAGTCGTCAGCGAAGCACTTGTTCGAGAAGTGTTCGAACGTGATCAGTTGTGAGTCGTGTGTAACCAACCCGTCCTCGACTCAAGTCCATTACATTCAGCGGTCAACCCCACAGACGCATTCATAAATTTTAACATGCTGTTCATTCAAAACGGGAATTTTCTCAAGTATAAATTAATATTATAATATATTAGCATATTGTGTATATATAGGCATAGGTTAGGTTAGGTGTTTAGGTTCTGTTGGCGATTATTTGTATTTGTAGTACGTGGGTGAAGCATTTACAGCGTTGTGATTCGAACAAAATTCGTCAGTGAAGCACTTGTTCCGGATATGTTCGAACGTCAGCAGTTGTGAGTCGTGTGTAAAACCGCTTTTCATTCATAAACAGGGGGTTTGGCGGGTGCATGGAATCACTTTTGGATCTTTGTTTGGAGGACGGGCTGGTGTAACAGCCCGTCCTCCGGGCGGATGCAAATAGGAGCCGTCTCATACAGGTCCATATAGCCCTTATGCATGTCCTTAATTCATA